GAATGAAAATCGATTTATCAAGTTTTATCTGCTAGGGTTATGAAAGTGTTTGGCTGAGTAGATCACATCTCAATTTGACCTTTCCAGGCTCTGAAGAAGGCGAAACCGCCGAAACGTCAGCAATTGTGTTCTAATAAATTCTATATTAACAACCTCGTGTCTGCTTATTGATGAAAAACATTGAATCACTTGATAGTTGTTCTTTTTCATTTTGAGATCCCTTTCTACAGTCAACTTGTCATTTCAAAACTATTAACTGCACAAACTTCTTCGACAACTTCTTTAAACAGTTTTCATTGCAAACCGCTATCTGTCGCAAATGTATCTGGTGTGCGTCAGTTTGTAAACTGAAGCGAATCCATCGCATATGATTGGGCATGTTCGCACTTAAAGATTAGTCGTTAAGGTATTGAACACGTGGGAAATATCTGATTCACGACCGCTGTTAAACTCTAAACATGTGATTTGCTGTTCTGTGATCAGCTTCAACTAAGAAATTAGGAGCGATGGATTTGGAAAGCCATGTGGTATTTTTAAGGTACAATGAATGGAGTCAACGCTTATCAGACCTTAAAGGTCTACAATACTCTTTATCAACAGAAGTGTAGTGAATCGAAAACCGTTGACAACTGAGCGAATATAAGATCGCACAGTTATATATATATATATATATATATATATATATATATGCATATATGTATATATGCATATGTGTACATATGTATATATATGTATACATACGCAGACAGACAGACAGACACAAACACACACACAATTATTCTATCTGAATACAATGCCAAAAAGTGGTTAAAACAGTTCAAAAACTCCATTAGGGTTAAAATTAACGGTGCCTTTTTTGTGAATAAATACCATACGAAATTATCAAATTAGGAAAACCCGGAGTAAGCGTAGAGTGCAAGTAAAAGCAATTTCAGTGGACGATTTCTACGCAGAACAAAAATACGCGCACTTAGTCTTATGAGATGAAATAGCTAAACGTATTTCATAGAAGGTTGGGAATCCAAAATAATATCAATTATTTCAAACCAGTTTAGAGAAAATGGAAAAGAGATACCCACAGCACGGTTGCCTACTATTTTTGGGAGATGGCAAAAACTTAGAAAGTATTCCTTATAGTTAACCTCCTTATACAAGGACTTCTGGAGAATGTTACACTTTGAAGATGTTTAAAACCTGTCATATCAATAAAATATCATGGTATTGTAGCTGTTGAAACATTAGTTAAGAGCATAGTTCATCAGAAACATAGAGCTGCTTTAAAAAATTTCTTCATATTACTTGCTTGAAATGTTCTTTCGCTACAATATTCTGGTGGAGGTTAAAGGCCATTTGAATTTGCTCAGAAACAGGTACTTTTAAATATTTAGGATTTGGTTCAAGAAATTGAAAGGCAAAGTGCCTTGAAAGTTAAGAAATGCCCTAATGGACTAGACAAAGTTACTTGCTAACACCTAATAAGTTCAGTCGCATATCGTATCGGGATAGAGAGGCTGAGGAAATATTAGTTCTTTGAAAAGAATATAGGGTTGATTGATAATCAATAGATGTCACTATCGCAAAAAAACCAGCACAATATTTGTAATATGGGAACCTCAGAAACTGATAAAAACTTAGGAGTGACTGTGACAGACAGACACTGAATGTCGGGAGTGGTGGTGTTCAGCCAGAGAGTAGTACTAGTGCATGAGGTGAGCTTATGCGTGAAACCGAGCACTGCACAGCACACCTCCACACGATGCCCATATAAGCGGGCGACTCGATCAATGTGAGCCTGGCTCAGGCATCCGCAGTACTTTCGTCGGCAACTCGTTCAATTGGACGGGAAGCACTTAGGTGCCGTAAAAATCCAGCATATCAAATTACTGCTTCTGAATCAGGCACTCCTCAGCACTGAAAGAGAATCCGTAACATAGGTTGTAACGAAAACAAACTCACTGTCACTCAGTGAGACTAAATATCAAAACGTTTTCTTCGACCATTAAGCTACGGCAATATTTTTAATAAATTCTATGGTTCACAAGAACTATTCACGTTCTTCAAAGCTGCAATGCTCGAGTTTGCTTGACCAAATCCCGCCAACAGTGCGATATGGATCTTTTGATAATAGATCGCTTCGAATACGAGTGTGGAGTACCACTCGAAACCATGAAGTTTTTTGAAATTCTATCTCGTTATATCGCACTGTGATTGTGGAAACCGTCAGAAGATTTTACTAATCTAGCAAGATAGGTAGATTCGAAGACACAGTTATCAGTGGATTTCCTGGACAACTGTCGCTGTTGTCGCAGAAGACTTCTTTTGTGGACAATATTTCATATTAGATTGATGGTTTCTGTATCAGAGACATGGCATTGCAAGTAATTCAAGGAAGCTGCTTTCTATATGTCATAGTTAGCGAGAAGGATTTTTGCAACACCTTTCTTGATATCATCGAATTCCCTCGGAACTTTTCTGCTTTACCTTGCGGATAGATAAGCAAAATTAGCATTATGGATGAAAAAAATTCCATGGTGTTTCTGCTGCATTATACTTGTGGATGCGTCTGTAGCAACCAGAGTTTGCTTCATTGAAGTGTTTTCACACTGTGTATCCTTGGAAACACTCAGGTTAACAAGTGACACACGCACTTCAAATCCAAAATACACTATTCAGCTACAATTTACATCTAATTCGGTCATTTTTGAAAACCATGTGAACCGCTACATCTAGTGTTTGATAATAAAGGGGTAAATCTTGTATAAAATATCTTCTTCTTGTTTTGCCTTCCAACTGGTGATACACTGCCATTCAGATTTGTCTGGAATCACTAGCAGGCGTCGAGTTGGACGTTGGAGTTGTAAAAATAAAATGAATTCAGTAACGATCCAGCCTCTTAAACCCACTAACGCATAGCTGAAAACAAAATGGAATGCATATTTTCGCTTGTTTAATACATCTCGGTCACACTTTTAGACATGTTTTAGTCCATATCAGGGTTTTTTTCGTTTACAGTCATATTCCAAGTACTAAGTGAAAATAATTCGTTTTAGCGTGTATGTTCTGCGTATTCACTCAAATAAATATTATGAAGACCCACTGGCCGTGAGGTCCTGCACTTTTTGGATACTCTCCTCTAGCCTTATTATCACCACCTCCGCTTCCATTCTGCAATGCACTTCTTTTACGAATTCTTCGACGGTAATTGCAAGGGTTTCCTCACTGCCATCAAAGCCATTGGCTTTCTCTTCCTAAATTTCGTTGAGGAGCTCGACAATGATGTCGATCTTGCCTTCGGCCGATATGATCTTGGCTTTGTTAAAAAAATTTTTCAGTAGCTTGTTAACCCTTCTTTTTTGTATATCGCTGTAAAGCCTGGACATCACATGAAATGAACGGAACATAGAAATGAAAGCATAAGCACAAACCGGTATCACATCCCGCTATGAAAAAAGAATAAGCAGCGAAATTCGTCCTTCTCCAAAAGTTAGATGGACGATTTTTCTTCTGTGGAAGAACATTGTAGGTCTAGGAAACCATAGACTTGAGCATATTTCTGCCGACTTTTATTCGAATTCACGCAGATTTCAATCTCCAGTGGTTCACAGTCCTATCTCGAATGAGGGATAGGGCTATGATTTAAGACCAGGTGCGACACTGTCATCCGGAAACAGAGCTAAAAGAGCTAGTAGTCGTTCACGTCCTGTAATAAATCCAATCGCAAAGTAGGAAACTTTTCTCTGGTCCACAATTGATGAACATTGCCTGTGGTGAGGGCTTCGGAAGAGTTCATCGAGATCTGAGTAAAAAATAGTGCTAAACTAGCAAGCAACACAGCAATTAAGTGGCAAGTGTATAGTGTAGACGCAGTTCTTCTGAGAGACCACACATTCAAGGATTCAGGCAAATATATTGCAACAATCTTAACTCTTATGGAGTGCTGAGATATTTGCAAAACTCCGGACCACAGGTGTATGCAGTGGGAAACGAACACGCGCTGTTGTCCTTACAGGGGAGCAGCGCACTTCGCCACTACACCATCCGGGTCACCCGGTGCAAATATCTCAGCATTTCATACGAGTTATATTGCAACAGTTAATAAAAATTGTGACAAAAGCAGAGCAAAAGTTATTCGTCATTATGAATTACTATTAGCAAAAAAGGAGTCACACATTCATAGTTATGGTAATTTTTTTTCCCCGCGTTGACCCTTTATTTATCGCCTACTGCAATTTCTTAGAGCAGGGTATAATGTGAACTGAAATCAAAATGATGCTGAGATGTTTGAAAAGCTCAGAACTCCAGTGTTACACAGTGCACCACTAGGCCCTTGATTTATCTTTCTCTCAGATAGTTTTCTATCTAACAGTACCATCACCAATCACCCGGCAACGGGTTTGATCTGGAAGCACAAATGGGCACTGCATCCGGTTTTGCTGAGCCTGTTACCAAAATCACAATGTTAAACATTTATTCACTTACTACTGCAATTTTTCACGGCACGTGAAATGCAATCACAGTGATGCTGAGATATTCTTTGTTACCAGTTGGAAGACCCCTTTCGAAATCTCTGTTTATAAAAATACAAAACATGGTGCGTGTAGTTTGCTGGGAATAAATTTTTCTACATTTTATCGGTGCGCGTAACTAAGAGAATGCATCTGAGTTATATTTAGGGCAACTATTTTATTAGTCAAGCAGAATAAAAACATTCGTAATACTTTTATAAGCAAAACAGCCAACCTACTTTTAATGTCCAAAGTTTACAGGGAAGCTGTGTTTAGGATAGTGGTTGTTGGAAACCTTCGACTTATATTTCTGTGAGATCGCCCCACTATCCGGGGTCGATAACCCAGCGCTGTTCTAATTCTTCCGACTTCACATAATTACAATAGCAGTCTGGTCTTAAAAAGTTAGTTTTGACTAGTTTACTGGTTGACATGTGTTTCACTGCGAGCGATTACTGCAAAGTTTGCTTCATAAATCTGTGTTTTTGTATTCAGATGCATAGCGCCCTCAATCTTGCAAACATAACGCGGTTGCGGTTCCTCAGTCTCACTGCGCCAAACAACCTTACGGAAAAACTCCTTTCTATCACTTTACGTATTTCAAGCAAAATCGGATTGTTCATTGATCACAAGCTGCAAGTCGGTAATGTGAAAACTTATTCTGAGAAACGTGCAACAATCGTTAAGTCAAAAATCACCTCACTCAATAACGTTCTCAGTACTTCATGCTTTTTTTATAAGTCGCTCAATATTCGCGTCAACAATTCCTATGTCCACAATTTCGAAAAGTAGTTGCTAAGCTCCGCGGTGAGAAGAAAATCTGTAAGGGAATGTAAAAGATAATTTTAGGCAGCGGAAATGATGAGAACGAACGTGAAATCAGAGTCCAAAGAGAAAGCGACACCGAAGATCGACTCGAAATCCGATCATGTGCCACCAATTCCAGAAAAAAAGATGATCACCAATCAGGTGATTCCAAGCATATTTTTTTGCAGTGACATTGGAGCGATAGTGCTAAATCTACCATCAGTTGGCGCTCTACCTGCTGTGTGCTATATTGTTATCTGTACGTCTGTTCTAGGGTACCGTTTCGCCAAGACGATGTGGTTTCTTTACGGTTTTCGGGTCACTTTTATTCTTCCAAAATCTAGGCCACGAATAAGTCGGGGAAAGCCCTTAACGCATAACTTTTCCTTTTTCACTTTAAATTTTCAAAACAGGAACACAGCTACAGAGCACTAAATCTCTAAACATGGTGCACACAAATAGGCATTTCACAATGTCCAATGACAAAGGTGAAGCCAAAACGAAGTGTTATAATTTACTCTGTGCCATTTCGATCTTTCACCCAAACATAAACATCGTCATTTCCATGAAAAACACATGCGAGGCCGTTACTATAAATTAGTTATTCACAACAGGTGACGTATCCGGCGGATTTAGCTCTCTTAAGAGCAGTCAACTTGACCTTCCCAGTCTCGTGCGTGCGGGAGTGTTGATCGTGCTTCGCTTTTTCCATTCGCCATTGACGTTCTTCATAGAGTAGTTCCGTCAATGATGTTCTCAACAGCGCTTCTGCTCTTCGCTTTCAGCCTCTCGATCAGAAACTCGAGTTGTATGCCACCAGCAAAGTCGACTTCAGAGATAATATAGATGACAAGCTCGAAAGCGGAAATGCATAGGTCACTTGCGACTACGATTGACGGTGTAAGGTGACCCCAAGTATAACTCCTTTATTCAAATTCGATGTACACTCTAATTAAGGCTCACGACAAGCACTATCTAAAAGATTATCTAATTAATGATCATAAAAGCAGATGGTACGTGGAGTCGCTGATATCAATCTTCCGCCTTGAATCTGACCTCTTTAATAGAGTATTGAATACGGGAGCACTCTCCTTTGGTTTCTCCTCAGTGATGTGGTCTTCTTTTTGTCGGATGTCTACAGAGTATAGTTAACTTAAATTGTAGTCTTATGGAAATTTGGTGGCGTCGAAACAATATTTTGCAAGGTTTCGACTTCCATTTGGATAGGAATCGATCATAAGCTCCATGGTTTCTGGGTGCCCAGGGATCGGCTACTATTCTTGTGGTTCTCGCCGTTGAAGCGGTGTTATCAGAAACAAATTATGAATAATTACTAACGGATTTCTTACTCGTGCTAATTAGTTTTCCACGAATTTACACGTGTCTGCACAGATTTCATATGAATCCATTACTACACGGTGTTCATCATTTGTGGTTACCTTCACCAATTTCCTGCCCTCGGCAGGGCCTTCCAAGCTGAGGTGTCCGGCGTTTCCATCAGAAGGCCTAGTTAAGACTAAACCAATACCAGGATCCACCACCGTCCTGATATCAAAGTCGCATGGTGGTAAATCTTTCTCTGATCCACAACGGCTGCGACTGTCTATCGTGGTGACAACCTGGGGCAGACTTTGACCAGGCTGTCCTCGGGATTCCAGGAAACCACAGTGGCTCAACCAGCAAATCTCCGAAAAATGGTGGTTATGCTGGGACCCGCTCAACTACTGAGGACTGGCCGTTCAAGTATCAAATGAGTTTACCAATTCCAGTTGTTTTTGTATGCAGTGCTATGGAGAGCATGGACCAATCACGAAAACTGGCGTTAACTATTAAAATGTCCATATCCATTTCCAGCTGCTTTGCATTAAACTGTGGCTATTGAGAGAACAATTTAGATACTCAACAAGCGAATGAAGAATGTATCGGCAGGTCGCACAATAACTAACGGGGCTCTGGGTAATACGAGAAATCGACCACTTACGGGTTCATGTAGGACCATCGATGTACTCGCTTTCTGACTCGTCCTCTTAATCTCCAAAGAAATCTGGAATTTGCTTGTATGGAAAAAGTGGTGCTTGTGTGTCGGTATTAAAAAAGCATGCAAACCTAAATAGATTGTAAGCTGCGCATGTAAACTAAATGTGTTTGAGAACATTTTCGAACACATCAGTTATGGCTGTAGCAAAAAGTCTTCATGGCTGCTTTTAAAGACAAACCCTATTGAAGCCGCTTATGAATGCATCCACCGCAAACACTTAACCGCTCTGAAGGAGTATTCTCGGTGATTTATCATCTTTTACCAGAGAAAAGCTCTACACAAGTGTCCAATCCAAGCGCCTAAATGGAGGCCCTTCTGCGCCACTTCAGTGGCTGCACTCTCTATTCCGCACTCGCTCTTCAACAGCAGTGATCTCTCGCATACGAAATGAATTCATCTGAAAAGAGGATCTTCGTCAATTATTAGGTGAGAAATTACTAGTAATACCTTGCCAAGAGCGATAAGTGGTGCAGCATCTGCATTGAATAAGCTAATGAATGATTGCAAGAAGTCTAAGAAAGAAATTCTGTTTATCAAAACAAGCTGCGGGAAATAATATGACACCCGTAGATGTTACACCGGCCAGTCCGTCAACTTCATTATGACAACTATAGGTATCACCCGTCGCTAGATGTTGAAACTTTCCAGAAACACAGTTCAGAATACAATTCCAGTATAAAGGCAAAGCACATGAATTGAACTTTGCAACCGCTTAGTAGTAAAAAAAACTGCTGCTAAAAGTTGAAAGAGTAGAAAAAAGAAATAGAAAAACTGGAATAGAATAAAAACTGAACACCAATTTCCAAGCATCCCTAAATTGTTTCTAATCATGTGAAAAAATGTTACAAATCATTAAATCTAAGGAAGAGCGGAAAATGTATAGTAGTTTTGAAATCGTACCCCAGTTGAGGTGGTAATAAAATATTAAAAGCTTCAACGCTTTTTCTACGTCACATCTCATGAATAGGCTTTTCAGTGGAAACAATGGCTTTTCTATAAAGTCAATGAACAGTTCCCAAGATCGATTTTCTGTTAACCTCGGCACTGGATTATAAATCTGTCGCTCTCTTTTTTCCAGCAATTGCGAGGTTCATTGTTATATACATAAGGAAGTAAACGTGTTCTGAATAACAACGTGCGATTTTTGGAAAAAGAGAACGACAAAGTCAATGAACTCGTGCCATTAGATGAGAAAAACTACGCAAAGCAGGAGCATCGACCTACAAAATCTTTGAGGAAGCTTGAGAAACTCGAAAAAGCTGCGGATGAGCCACAGTGACAAATGTTTCAAGCCGACATGTCACCCCGTCTCATTAAGTGATAGCAGTCTTACTTTGGACTACGAGTTTAACAACTCTAAGTGATTTTTCTCCCTGCTTACGCAGCGACCAGAATTCTGACGCAAATGTTAAAACAGAAAGAATCGTGAAACCGAGAAGGTGGGCACGGAGTCGGAGGCTTTATATTCTCTTCACAGCATCCTCGATGCTCTTGAAAGCTCTACAAGCCGTTTGTTTCCTTCTGCTGAAGTCTGGTGTTAAGTCATTCACCATGTGCATTTCCCAACCTAGATAGACAAACTGGAGGATTCTAAGATACTCATTGCGTTGAAGGTGAATGGGGCGTACGTAACCGATGCGTTTCACACGAACGTCTTTTTTGTGACATTTAGTAGGAAAGTAATCTTTCCAAGGGCTTTATCGAAGTCGGCAGGCATTGTCTCTGCTTGGTCACCGTTCAGTGTTATAAGAATGATGTCATCAGCACCGCGCAGATAGTGTAATTGCCGACCATCGATTTTCACTCCCTTGTTGTCCCATTCCAGTAGTCGAATGACCTTCTCGACTGCCGCGGTAAATAGTTTTGGAGAGATGGTATCGGCTTTTCAAAACTTCTTTTTGTTGTCGATGTTAACGTCGTTTTAGAATGGCGATATCTTGGTTGGGAAATCTTTATACAGCCCATGAAAGATGTTTATAGACCAAGTAGGGACTCCCTGAGTGTCCGTGGCTTCCATGAGTGCTGCTATCTATGTCGATTCAAAACCTTTCTTTAAAAGGTAGGAAGCCGTACAGAGCGGTCTCTTGTACCCTCACAATACTTCAATGAGTTATGTTTTCGTGTGGATGTGGTCCAACGTTCTAAATCCTTTTCGAAACCCTGCTTGCTCACACGGCTGACCTTAGTCCAGTGCACTAGCAATCCTGTTTAGGACGACTCCAGTGAAAACTTTGTAGGAAAGAGACAGTGAGCAGATTGGGCGATAGTTGCCGATATCGTGTAGGTTAGCCATCTTGAACAGTAGAACGGTTTTACTGTTCCTCCAATGAGTAGAGGTCTTTCATTCCGACAGGTAACGTGTGAAGAGCCGAGCCAGTGTGTTTACGAGGACTGGCGGAAGGTTCGTCAGGTGTTCAGATCTTGTTCACTCTGAAGTTGGTGTTGTTCGATTCTTCATCGACAAAATAGCATGTCGGATTTCGGAAAAGAGAACCGATTGGATGATATATACATCCTTCTCTACTTCACATGATGGCAGGAAGTTCTGGTTATTTAAGAAATTCGAGTAGTAATCATGAATGATTTTCTCCATTGTCTGGCTCGAAGCAGTAACTATTCCCTCTAGACATTGGAGTACAATCATCTGAGTTTTGCGACTAACGAAGCGACTCTGTTTAAGATATTCCTTTACCGCTTATCAGCATCGCTTTGCAAGTTCGGGCATGAGTTAGCTGTTGCCTGTAGCTCGTAACATTCCATGCTGACGTATCAGTTCGAGTGTTTCTACGTACAAACGTCTCTTGTAACTTTCGACTCTCAACGTATCCATCTGCGTTTCAAGGAAGTAAAGGCCGCTTTTGGTCTGCGATTAACCACTTATCTGCCACCGGGGGACGCGCCACGTTGCCTCGCGACTAACCAACAAAAGAGTCCTTCATGGGGGGTACATGGAAGCGATTTTAGGATATCCCGCGCCATGTGGTCAGCAAATGAATCTGATCTACGCAATGCTCTGATCTACGCAAACGGTCAGAAATTAAACATGTCTTTGCAAATACTAAGTTGCCAAAGATAAGGTAGGGCAGACACGTAGTTCATATGAACGGCAACGAATGCACAGGTGTTGCAAGCGACTGGATTCCTCAAAGGCTCAAAAGTACTCCACTTCAGACAGCTGTCGTCCATGGTGGTGGTGTGTTACAAACATCGTGACGTTCGAAAGGCCCATTCTGAAATCCTGAAATCCTTGTCATCTGCGCATGTAGACGATTGACGTGAGTCACGAATACGTCTGCCTATCGTTGCCTGATCCCGTATGTTTGCATCGATTTTTGTTGTGGGATGGAGCAGTCGTCAACCAAATGCGACTATAATCAGCTGTTCTAAACTTCCTCATTGGAAGTCACGAAAAAAGCGGTGGGTTTTTTCGAGAAGTTGTTGATCATGTAATTACCAAAGAGTTTTTCGTCTTTTTGTGTTATGGAAGCGTTTGGCCTAGTAGATTGTATATCAGTATACCCTTCCAGGCTCTGGAGAAGGCGATACTGCCGAAACGTCAGCTAGCGTTGTATTGTATTGTGTTTTTCTATGGAAGTAAATGTATGCTGTTCAAAAACCTCGCGATTGCTGAACAAGAAAACGACACATTCATATTCCAATGCCGAGGTTAATAGAAAGTTGATCCTGGGAACTGTCTCGCAAATTTGAGAATAAATCGTTCAAGTGCTCTGTGAGCAGTGAGCAGGTTTTTGACGTGGTTGAGGTATTAGCCCACGACTCTGCTGCAAAAGAGGGCGCTGGGAGTACTGTTGAATGGAAAGATGGGCATGGAGTTTT